TTACATCTATAAGACCAATCTCCTCGTGGTTTAAGGAGTGGAAATATGTCGGACAAGAGTGAAAAATCTTGGACGTCCCGTGTGTAACTTGCGTACGTTAAAGAACCCTTGTGTTCCAAAATCGATAAGAGTTGGCTTCGGCCGCCACCCGGGTAAAACTCACAAGTTTCCTACACCTTGCGCTCAGATGACCGTATGCTGTTGCGAGCGCCGTAAAACACTTACACCCCCACCCCCTACCCCCACCAAAAAACAAAAACAAAACAACAAGAACAACAAGAACAACACAAAATAAACAAATAAAAACAAACAAACAAACAAACAAGCAAGCATACTATTATGCAGACTCACACATACTAATAATATTATTTTTATTTTGTTTTTCGCGGTTTCAAATGTGCCGGAACAAACATTGCCAATGGTGTACTGACGAGGTGAACTATTATAGGTATTATTATTATTATTATTATTATTAAATATTATTATAAGCTCGCCTTGCCTGCTGCTCATTGGACATAATGATCATTATGCATCCGCAATGCTCTTGACACTTTGCGGTCACTTGGCGCAATAATGCGAGGGTGAAAATTATCCGTTCCGGTCACCTGGCGCAGTTCTGCACTACGACAGGCCCGACAAGTCCGTTGTTGCAGTCACTCTCCTGACTGGGTGACCAGATGAAAATGTTTGTACTGCTGGCTGTGTGACTATTAAAGAATTAAACTACCTCCCTGCCACAGTTCCAACACGATCACTCCTCCAAGGAGAGGCTCAGTTTTCCTTGAAGCGGAGCAATGCCAGAAAAGCGAACACAAAATCAACTCGAATGTATAAAGTGTGACATTTATTTCCGAAAAGAAAGGTAACCACGGCACCTTTAAAAAAAAAAAATGAAAGAAAAATAAGTTAATTAAATAACAAATAGTATAATTATTGTGTAGCGCAAATCTCCGCTCAACAGCAAGCTCTTTGCACTTTACAGTCTATACTATTACCTCAGCAGACCAGAGAGCATTCTGAAACTATCTCAACTTCTTGGGAAGCAAACAGTACAAGCGGCCATTTATGGACTCTAGAAATAGCCGGTTTACCGTAAGATCAACAGAAAGACTATCGAACTGGTTCCCCATCAGGTCTGGGGTGAGACAAGGGTCTGTTCTCTCTCTGCTTCTCTTTGTCACCTACATGGATAAGATCACTCAGCAAATTAATGACGTCACTGAACTGAACGAGCTTCTGTTTGCTGATGACCAGGGTGTATTAAATACAGTTGAAAAGGAATTACAAAAACATACTACAAAATTAAATGAAGAATGTAAACACCTAAACATGAAAATTTCCATTTCAAAAACAGAAGTTATGAAGTCAGCAAAACCAGGTAAACTCAACATCCTTATAAGTTATTGACGGAACATAGCTCCAATTCATGTAGACGTATTTATACATTTGGGAAGCATCTTCACACAAGATGGACGTATGGACAAAGAAATAGAAACAAGAACTATGAAGGAAAATGCAGTGACCTACCAGCTAGCACCCCTGCTCAGTCACAAGAACATCCCAACCAAAGTGAAGTCCCAGCTCATCAATAGCATCTTCATAACAACCTTAACATACCAGTACCAAACATGGTCTCTAAACAAGATACAAGAAAGAAACAAATCAATGCTTGCGAAATGAGGTGTCTCAGCAAAACAATCAACATCACCAGAAGAGACCGCATAAGAAACGAGGCCATGCGTCTACAAACCGGAATATCATCCGTAATATAAAATTCAGAGAGCATCAAATAGTCAAAAATTATGGTTTGGGCATCTAACCAGAATGCGCCCCAGTGACAACTAGCAGTTAGAGCTTACAACACCCGAGAATCCGGCTTCAAATCATGAGTAAGACCAAGAAAGACCGGGTTGGATGGGGTTAAAAGGGTCCTGGAACAACATAACAGTACATGTATCCATTACAGAATCTAAACACCTAGCACAGGACCGAAACCCGCACCTCCCCTCGGCATCCTAATGATATCAGAGGAAGGAAAAAGTAAAAAGTAAAAGCAAAGTAAAGTAAAGCACTAACATACTGACAAGATCTTTCGCTGTCTATGGCCGTGTACCCATTCCCATCTGGGTGAAGAGAAGAAAATTCGTATAAAGTGCCTTTCCCAAGGACACAACGTCGGGCTCACGGCTCGAACCCCTGAACCCCCAACCTCCCGATTACAAGTTCGGTAGCTAGACCTCTAGCTAGACTACCGACGCCACAAAAATAAAACAAAATAGAAGATTCATCATTACAAAAAGATATAGTACATTATATAACGAATCTACAGAAAATTAATAGATTCCTGTGTTTTGTATGCAAGGCAAAAACCATGGCGGGCGCCTTAGTGTAAACATAAAATGAAATAAATAAAAATAAAGGAATTACTGTATTAAATGGATAATTGAATTGGCGAATAATAATTTATAGGCCTAACAATAATGTAATTAATAATAAGACCGACCGTTTGAAATAGAAAGCGTTATGTTAGGCACAGTAGGCCTATTAAAAACCCTGGGACCATTAAATGAATGAATTTAACAGAGTTACATCGTCATACTGATACCTATGGCATTAAATCTGGGGCGAGGGGCACTTTTTCTGTGCTTGGGTTTTTGGTTATTTAGGCTACTGTACAACTCGCTTTCTGACAAAATTCTGTCAGTAGGCCTAAACATAACCCAGTCTTTCATGATCTAGCCTTCATCTGTGGCAAAGCTCACAAAATAAACCAAAGTCGCGACTCCTTAAAGTAAACATTGCCATGCTTTTGATATCGAGGTCGTCTTGTTTTTAACATTGTTTTCATTTCATGTATAGTTATTTTCAACTTCATCCATGAGAAAGCAGAAATATAACTGACAATTTCACATTAATTAACATAGTCAAAAGGATAGCATTGCTTAATAATAATTTCCTAACTAAGGAAAATTACCGAACAACGTGCATCTCCACCTCGATTTTTCCTACGTAGGATTACCGTTATCTATGAAAAGGAGGCTGTAGTACAAATAGACGAAACTTTTGATAGATCGATCACGTGATACATTGTCACATGACATGTCAATGTCGCCTCCCCCTGAATGAGTTATGATGTATTGCGGTACCATAGTGTAAACAAAACAATGATGCCGTTATATTTTACTTTTCTGTTTCTGATACTTGTTGCAACAGCCAGTGGGAAACCACCACATGTTGTGTTCATGGTTGTAGATGATTTAGGTAAGACTTTATGAAGACGTAGCAACGCCAACATCGACTTGGTGACACTTTACTGTCTTGGTCTTGAGTGAGTTTCAAGTCTGCCTTCTTGCAACATCTCTCATATTATAGCCTATAGATCTAGATCTAGGCCTAATAGATTCTAGGCCTAACTATTATGACTATAAATAAGTCTTTAGTAACTAAATGCTTGGCCTAGATCTAGTATATGAGGGGAAGGGCACATATGCAAGGTGAACATCCCTCAGTTCACTGCTGTACTGTGTGTGACCAGAACCACATCTCCCACAGGCCCCTAGCCATAATAAGTAGCCTGCAATGAAGCTTGGATCTAACATTCTTTTTCTGCAGCTGCTTGACTTCCTGAAAGTGGGTCCAGTCCTTTGCCAACGCCTTCTCCCACCTCATCTCTGACTGGGCTCGACTGTCTCGTTTTTCTTAAGGAAGTGACTATTCGGACTCGAGTCCGAATATGAAAAAATGTTATTTTTAGACTCTGATTCTTGTCCAGCATAACATCACTTCCGACTTCTGACTTCCTGTGACTCGTGACTCCGGCTTCCTGTCTTGCCTCACTCGTGACTCGCCTCAGGCCTCAGGCTGGGTAGAGACCGGGATCACTGGGCAAAATGGCGTTTTGTGCAGGAGCCGAGTTTTTATCTTATGATGAATTTGAGGCCGGCCTGAAAAGTTATAGGGCTTCTAATAAATGTTTATTTGTCAAGAGGTCATCAGAAACAATTAAAGATTGCTCGTTAGCATGTGTCGGGGTCGGATGGGTGGCCTGCATACGTGTGGCTGTGTGTGCATGTCGGGGAGAGGGGG